GGTCGACCACCAGTGCCTCTGGTCGACTACCAGGTGCCTCTGGTCGACCACAGCTCCTGTAGAGCTACCCCCTGGTCGAGGGACCCCTTCCGTCGACCAGACCCGTCAGCTGTTGTCGCCGAGCTCCCCTCGTCGACCGCTGCTCACTTGTCAGGTCGACGAACTGCTTCTTCGGCCTCCCAGTCGAACTGCTACTCCTGGTCGACGGCCCACCCGTCGCCCAGCCCAATTAGCTGCAGTTGTTGAGCTCCCTGGTCGATGGCTCCAGCCCCGTGACAGTCCTGTGCAGGTCGACAGCCACCTTGTCGACCTGCCCCGCAGAAGAAGAGCGTCGAGCACTCCTGGTCGACAGCAACACCACAACCCTCCCCTACAACTCAACGAAGCCCGTCGAGCAGCTCTCCCACTGTGTATGGTCGACTGCTTTTCTCGTATGTGAGGATCTAGGATCGAGCTCAGGAAAGAGAGTTTTTGATTCAATGATCCACCCGGGTACAACACGAGGCTATATATAGTCTCGACACAAAGCGAGTTACCCAGGTGTTACGCGAATTTTCTGAGGGTCGCGAAGCGCCCCGAACAGAACCTTCCCGAACTCAGTAGAAAGCGATTCGGTGGAAACTGGATAGGCTTGAGTTCGGTACACGTAACCTGGTTCGGTGCTATAACTATAATATAGGCAATCAAGCATATCTATGCATGATAAAGTCTAGGCAAGCTAGCAAAGCCAGCATAAGCCGTCGTACTCTCACACAGTACATCCGACCAAGTCGTCGGCGTTGCCCAAGCGAGGGCGGGGCCAACACTCCATCCTGTTAACACTCCCCTGCCGCGCTCACGCTTGGGCCTCCAACTCGCACGGCAGTACTCCACGGAGAAAACTCGTCCTCGGCGTGCACCCCACACACAGCACGCCGTCACCACACCAGCCGTGCAGAAGCGCACGGCACCTACTGTTGCACATCATCATCGCTGTCACCGACGTCGACCAGACGAACTTGGCCGATGGCGACAGAGCACCAGTTGAAAGCCGGAAAATGCAGCGCCAGTCAACCGGCTGCTCGGAGGCCGGGTTGTACTTCAGCACGAGCTTCCCGTGCCTCACCATGTGTTGCAGCCAGGCGTAGCGTTGCTCCATGTGCTTGAGGTTGCCCGTCAGCCCCAAGCCCTTAGCGACTGTGATTGCCGACTTGTTGTCCACACGGAGGATGGTCGGCTTCCCAGCGTCGAGCAGCTTGAACTCTGCAAGGAGGAAGCGAAGTCGACGCCCCTCCTTGCCGGCGTCCGTGGCTGCGACGTACTCCGACTCGGTCGAGGAGAGCGTCGTGCACTTGATGTGTTGGCTCGACCAGGAGACCACGGCCAGTCTGAAAAATAACACGTAGCCACACGTGCTCGTCCAGTTCTGCTTGTTGCCCGCGTCGTCGGCGTCCACGTAGCATATCAACTCCAGCGACTCTGGTCCACCGCCAAACTCTAGGGCGGTGTCGTGGGTGTCAGCGAGGTAGGCGAGGCAGCGGTCGACCTCGCGCCAATGCTGGTCGCTCATAGTGAGGCCGCTCACCAGCTTGCTGCAGGCGAACGGGATGCCCGGCCTCGTCGTTGTCGCCGCGAAATGCAACGAGCCAACCTTCTGCCGGTACTCCTCCTCCTTGCGCTCCTGCGCCTCCTCACCGAGTTCATTCGCACGAGTTCGTCGCCCTTCATAGCACCGATACTGTTCACGCCGAAAAAGGACGGGGGTTTTCACATGTGCATCGACTACCGCGCACTGGGTTACCATCAAGTCCTGTTACCCCATCCGACGAGCCGACGAACTAATCGACCAACTGCGAACAGCCCGGTTTTTCTCGAAAAACGACCTTCGAGGAGGCTACCACCAGATCCGAGTCAACCCACCCGACTGCCCGAAAACAGCATTCCGAACACGCTACGGATCCTTCGAATACACCGTCATGCCTTTCGGACTGACCAACGCCCCTTTTCAAATGACCATGAATGAAGCCTTCTGCCCGCTTTTAGATAAGTGCGTCATCGTGTATCTCGATGACATACTGATTTACAGCCCCGACCGCGCACAGCACCTACAAGACATTGAAGCAGTTATAAAAAATACTGAATGAGAACCGCCTCTAACCAAAGCCTCTAAGTGTGAGTTTTTACAGGACAGACTGGAGTTTTTGGGACACATTATTTTAGCTGACGGAGTGGATATAGACCCGAAGAAGATCGCGACGATTCAAGCATGGCACGCGCCGACAAATTTGACTAAGCTGCAGAGTTTTTTGGGGTTCATCAACTACGTGCGCCGGTTCGTCCCCGACATGGCGAAGTTGACTGCTCCGTTGACCGACCTGCTGAGGAAGGGGGTTGAGTACACGTGGGGTGAGAAAGAGCAAGCTGCCTTTTCGGCCCTCAAACAAATTCTGTGCTCGCCGCCCGTGCTTCACATCGCAGATCTGCACCGTCCGTTCGAACTCGTCACCGACACAAGCGACATCGACGTGGGAGCAGTACCTGTTGCAGGACTTCAAGAACGACCTTAAGCAAATCGCGTACGAGTCCCGCAAGCTTCACCCGCCCAAACGCATTTACCCGATACACGACCGCGAGATGCTGGCGATCGTGCACGCGTTCAAAGTGTGGCGATGCTACCTTACCGGAGCAGACGTGACAGTACGGACAGATCACCGATCACTACAGTACCTCCGCGTCCAACCAAATCTCAATCCGCGACAGATCTGCTGGTGGACTATCTGGAGTCCAACTTCCACTACACCGTCACGTACAAGAAAGGTGCATCAAATACCGCCGACGCACTCACCCGCCCTACCGCCCAACTCCACGCCATCCTACTCACCCAAACCAACCCACTATTAACAGGTCTATTCGCCCATGGATACAGTACCGACCCATTTTTCACGCTGGAAATTCACAGCAACTGGCAGAAGCTAAGGGGGTTTATTACATAAAAACAGGCACCAACCGCATTTGGGTAGCCGCGTACTCACTACTTAGGGAGCTGTTACTGCAGGAGGCACACGACGGGGTTACCTCAGGTCATTTCGGGGTAGAAAAAACGCGACAGCAACTACAGCGGTATTACTACTGGCCGGAGCTGTTGACCGACGTACAGCACCACGTGTGCTCGTGTCCTATGTGTCAGGAAATCGATCTCAGCCGAAGAAGCCGCTCGCCTGTTCATCGCAGCCGTCGTTCGACTACACAGGATACCGGCCGCGATCATCAACGACCGCGACACGAAGTTCACCAGCAACTTCTGGAAGAACCTCTGGGAGTAGTTCGGGACCAGGCTACAGTTCAGCTCGTCGTACCACCCCGAGACCGAAGGTCAAACGGAGCGGACCAATCAGACGATGGAGCAGTTGATTCGGGCCACATGCGACGACCCGACAACCTGCAGCAGTTGCCGCTGATCGAGTTCGCCTACAACAATGCCACGTCAGCGACGACGCAACAGTCCCCGTTTTACCCGAATGACGGGCAAAACCCAACAGTGCCCATGACGCCGAGTCCGGACAACCCAACGCCACGCGCACAACAGTTCCCCGAACTCCTGCAAGCTGCCCGCACCAGAGCCGCAAAAGCGATTAAAAAAGCCAACGTCATCGCTAAACGCAATTTTGATCGCCACCGCCGCCCAGTCACGTACCAGCCAGGGGATTACGTACTGCTCGACACACAGAACTTAAGACTGCCCGTCGTACCGAAACTTCGACCGCGATACTGTGGACCATTCTAAATCAGCCACATGATCACCCCAGTTACCGCCCATTTACTATTGCCAACAGACTAGTACATCAACCCATCGTTCCACGTCATCTTGCTTCGTCCGTACATCCCAACCACGAGCCAACTTCCCTGCCATCGCCCGCCATCCATGACTCGCCCTACATCGGAGCCGATCATTGAGCCCGAGAAGATTCTGAGCCATCGGATTCGGCACCCCACAGGAATCAAGAGAATCGAGTTCCTCGTTCGCTGGAAGGACCGCACGCCAGCTGAGGATAGCTGGGTGCCCTTGGCCAACATTGAAAACCACCCTGCCCTGCAAGTGTACCTGAGGAGCCGGGGTTTCTGCGATATATACGCACTCGCGTAGCGGAGGGGGCTTCTTAAAGGGGGGTGGGGGGAGGGGGGGGGTATTGTAAGGAATTTTCTCGACATTCCTTACCGCGACCGTCAACATCGCGTACAGCAGCGGCTGTTGTTCGCCCGTTACTGCTAACGGGGCTTCGCCAACTTCCCGCCCACTGTTTCACCAAACCTCGCACTGCTGGAGCAGTCGAGTCGGCCTACGCTTCGGGACTAGCGCGAACCTTGCGCTAGCGTAGCACTAGCTAGCTCGCACGTACCACGTTACCGTTTTGCATGTTTCGCGCATAAGTATTTGCTCATGCCTTCGCTCGTGCTTTGTACTCTTTGAACACTCTAGTGCAATCCTCGCTACCTCGATTCATTGCGCCCGTAACAGTGTGATTGAAGAACTGACGCTCCTGATGTTTTCAACTTTCTTAGCTATTTAGATTTTTTTTACTATAGGGTTGAGGAGACTACAAAAAGTGTTGACTAGAATGACTAGATGACCTAAGGGAAAAATATGCGAATGGTACCGTAACAAAAATGGGGCTCGAGGTGTCTGTTACATTGAGTTTTCACGGGTTTGGTGACACGCTTCACGCGTTTGTTACCGTAACTCATTTCACATGTTTGGTAACCAAGCATGGGCAAATTTTCACGCGAATGTTAACTAGAAGAAAATTGTTATTTGTGAGTTGTAAATGCATAAGTGTATGCATGGTTCGCACTGATCAATAGTGCTGCTCGTGTTTTTTTAGCCAGGACTTTTGCGTAACTTGGTTGTTTAATCAAAACACATACAGCAAACACATACTACAACACTACAGCACATCAGAATGACCCTGATAAGAGCGGAGAGACTGCAAACAGGTGTCACTTCATCTTAATTCTCGTGAATTCTAGTAGTCCTCTTCCTCCTGGTAGTCCAGGGAAGGCTGACTGGACGGTGCAGTGCGGCAGGAGAAGTCCACCTTTGCAGTTCCACTGCAAGCACCAAGCACCAAGCATCAAGACCACGACAAACAGAGTAGGGTATCGGAGATGAGATGCATGGAAGGTGGGAGCATCGCAGAGCAAATGACATTCGAGAAAGGCCAACTAAGAGCATCTGCAAGGGAACGTGCAAGGCGAGCTAAGGACATGTACAGGCAATGTGAGGGGCATGTGAGGGGCATGTAAGGGGATGTGAGGGGCGCATGTGAGAGGGGCATGTGAGAGGGGCATGTGAGGGCATGTGTGCGCACAAGTTGTTGTCGTGGAAGCTGAGGCGTTTGTTGCCAGTGCAGGAGAAGGCCCAGATAAGCTTTGATACGCCTGTTGGGTTAAACTTGGCAGACACACCCGTGCCTTTCACACGGGAGAACCTGCAGGGAGGGTGGGTGGTCCGTGTACAGATGGGACAGGACCAGATCAGTAACAACAGCAACAGCAGCAGCAGCAGCAGCAGCAGCAGCAGCAGCAGCAGCAGCAGCAGCAGCAGCAGCAGCAGCAGCAGCAGCAGCAGCAGCAGCAGCAGCAGCAGCAGCAGCAGCAGCAGCAGCAGCAGCAGCAGCAGCAGCAGCAGCAGCAGCAGCAGCAGCAGCAGCAGCAGCAGCAGCAGCAGCAGCAGCAGCAGCAGCAGCAACAGCAGCAGCAGCAGCAGCAGCAGCAGCAGCAGCTCACCTGATAATAGTTGAAGTATCAGCACTCATGGTGGTGGACGCATTGTAAACACTGAACGCTGTAGTGGGCAGCAGCTTGGCCGTGCGATACCCCTTGATGGCATACGGCACAACACGGCCACCAGGCAGGTTCCCAACCACAGCATCTGCAGGTACCATAGCTCCCTTGGAAGACCACCCCACGGATATCCATCCCGTCCTGGCCTTGCCTGGCGCCTTGGCTTCTATTGCCATGTCCACTTGCTTGGACGATACGGGGTTCCAGTGCAGGATGAGGCTGGAGAGGACGGGAGGAGAGGGGGAGGAGAGGGGGGGGGAGAGGGAGAGAAGAGGTTAGACGATTTTTGAGAAGGCTCAAGGAATGTGTCTCGCGTACAGTGGAGGATAAGGGTGGGGAACGGGAGGAGAGGGGAGTATGGGAGGGAGAGGAGGGAGTTAGCGGAGAAAGGGTGGTAGAGTGGTTGGCGTGGTCAGGAGCAAGACGGGCAGTAGCAGAATGGCATGGGCAGTAGCAGAATGGCATGGGCAGTAGCAGAATGGCATGGGCAAAGGTGCAACAGCAGGGACTCACTTGGGCGGGAGCAGGGCAAGCTGATAGGAGTATCCAGGCAGGGTGGATACGGGGCAGGCTTTACCCGTGGCGAATGGAGAGGGGGCCGGAGGCGAAGGGGAAGGAGGGGGAGAGGCGGTGGCGGGGGGAGGAGACAAGTCAACGTTACCGCCGTTGGGAAGAATGGGAGGAGGGGGAGAGGCGATGGTGGGAGGGGGAGGGGAGGAGACAGGAGGGGGAGGGGAGGAGTCAGGAGGTGGAGGGGAGGAGACAGGAGGGGGAGGGGAAGAGACAGGAGGGGGGGGGGAGGAGTCAGGAGGGGGAGGGGAGGAGACAGGAGGGGGAGGGGAGGAGACAGGAGGGGGAGGGGAGGAGACAGGAGGGGGAGGGGAGGAGACAGGAGGGGGAGGGGAGGAGACAGGAGGGGGAGGGGAGGAGACAGGAGGGGGAGGGGAAGAGACAGGAGGGGGAGGGGAGGAGTCAGGAGGGGGAGGGGAGGAGACAGGAGGGGGAGGGGAGGAATCAGGAGGGGGAGGGGAGGAGTCAGGAGGGGGAGAGACGCTCGTGGTTGGCACAGATCCGCCAGTGGGGGGAGAGGGAGGGGGAGGAGAGGGAGGGGGAGAGGGAGGCGGAGAGGGAGAAGGTGGGGGTGGGGGCGAGGGGGGGGGGTGGGGGCGAGGGCGGCGGCGGAGGCGAGGGGGGGTTTGGGGGCGAGGGCGGGGGGGGGAGGCGAAGGGGGGGTTGGAGGGCTAGGGGGTGGCGGAGGGCTAGGGGGGGGCGGAGGCGAGGGTGGGGGTGGGGGCGAAGGGGGAGGCGGGGACGAGGGGGGGGTTTGGGGGCGAGGGCGGGGGGGGAGGCGAAGGGGGGGGTGGAGGGCTAGGGGGGGGCGGAGGCGAGGGTGGGGGTGGGGGTGAAGGGGGAGGCGGAGGCGAGGGTGGCGGTGGGGGCGAAGGGGGGGGCGGAGGCGAGGGGGGGGTTGGGGGCGAGGGCGGGGGGGGAGGCGAAGGCGGGGGTGGAGGGCTAGGGGGAGGCGGAGGCGAGGGTGGGGGTGGGGGCGAAGGGGGAGGCGGAGGCGAGGGGGGTTTTGGGGGCGAGGGCGGAGGGGGAGGTGAAGGGGGGGGTGGGGGCCTAGGGGGAGGCGGAGGTGAAGGGGGGGGGTGGGGGCCTAGGGGGAGGCGGAGGCGAAGGTAGGGGCGGAGAAGGCGGGGGCGGAGGCGAAGGCGAAGGAGGGGGCGGAGATGAGGGGGAGCCATTGCAGGAGAAGTCGACGGTGGTCATTCCACTGGAGAGAGAGGTGGATGGACACGGGGGTGGGGAAAGAAGGAGGCGAGGCAAGAGGTAGGGGAAACGAGAGGAGCAAGGTAAATACCATGGCGAGAGAGAAAGAGAGAGAGAGAGAGAGAGAGAGAGAGAGAGAGAGAGAGAGAGAGAGAGAGAGAGAGATCCTCCATACGCTGGAGGGGTAGAGGGTCACTAAGCGGAAGGGGGGGGGGGGGGGGGGGGGGGGGGTTCAGAGGGATGGGTCAGAGGGCCAGAGGGACTAAGGGTATCTTGAATCAAACTGCATGTCTGTACCCCTGCTGAATCAATACAACGGACCATTTGAGAAAGAGAGAGAGAGAGAGAGAGAGAGAGAGAGAGAGAGGGGGGGGGGGGGGGGGGCGGGGAGGGAGAAAGAGAAAGAGTTAGGGAGAAAGAGAGGGCGAGAGAGAAAGTTAGGGAGAAAGAGAGAGGGAGAGAGAGAGAAAGAGAGAGAGAGAAAAATTGCATGTCTGTACCCCCTGCTGAATTAATACAAAGGACCATTTGAGAGAGAGAGAGAGAGAGAGAGAGAGAGAGAGAGAGAGAGAGAGAGAGAGAGTGAGAGAGAGAGAGAGAGTGAGAGAGAGAGAGAGTGAGAAAAAGAGGGAGAGAGTGAGAAAAAGAGGGAGAGAGGAGCAGAGCAGAACGCACTCGTAGTTGTGCTTGGCAATGGTGGTGGAGCCGCTACTGGAGTACGCCCAGATGATCTTGTTCGACTCCGCGACCTGCACGGGCGCCACGCCCCCATCACCGGTAGTCCGCGTGAACGTCATCGTGGCCGTCGTCCCGGACGCGGCGAACGTCTTGCTGCCGATGGTAAACGCCGAGGTGAGCCGGACGGCGGAGTAACTGGAGATGTTGTAGGTATCCACGGGGACCGGCGAGCCCGCCTGGTTGCCGATGACGGCGTCTGCGGGATACATCTTGAGGTCCCGTGCGAAGCCGATGCCGAACCATCCCGTGGCGGCGCCGCCTGTCGCGGTGACTGCGAGCTGGATGGTGGTGGTGGTGGTGGTCTTCCAGTGGAGCTTCATGCTGCGAGCGTGGAAGAGAGACGGTCATGGGGCGGGGGAGGGAGGGACGAGGAAGTCAGGACGGAGGGAGGAGGAGAGGGAGGAGAGGGACGAAAGGGCCGAGGACAGGGACTAAGGGACGACTCGTTGGAGAGCGAGGGATGGATGGATGATGCGTGGTGAGTGCGTTGCGTACGTACTATGATCCGAGGCTGACTGACGACGTGTAGCCTGAGAGGGTCGACGGCGAGCACAGCGCCAGAGGCGCAACCAGCGACAATGCCGCCCGCCTGCTGCTGCGAACGCCGTGACCGTCGCCGCCGGGGCCGCTGACATCACTGCCGGGACCGCCGACGTCAATGCTGGTCTCGTTGCTTTCGCCACCCCCGTGTTGAGGGCCCTCCTGACGTGACGAGTCAACAGTTTCGCCACGCTGGTGGTTACCAGAGTCGCCATGCTGACGACGGCCTCTGCCCGAAGCCAGAGAGGATACTGCCCGCAAGATGCTGCAGAAGCGGGTGCCGAAGCGCTGGCAGTCTTCCGGTAAAGGCGGCGGCAGGTGCGGGTCAGCCATGGTGGTTGTAGTCGCCGTGGTGAAGACGAGCAGAAGCAGGAGGAGTAGCACCATGTGCGGGCGCCGAGGCAGTGGAGTGGCGGCGGCCCCTGAGAGAGGCAAGGCGCGTTGTACTAGCGCCATCTTGGTAGTCAGCATTTGGCATGGACGGCTGTGCCTGCTGCTGCTGCTGCTGCCCGGCTAGTGGGAGTAGCTGGGAATGCCAAGCCCTTGGCATCAAGTTGATGGTGGAGGGGAGAGAAAGAAGTGACGCTTTATCTCCATGGCTGCGCGCGCGTACAGGATGCTCGCGTTGCGACTTGGGAGAGCTAAGGTGGCTGCTGCAGCGGGTTGACAGAGGCTCGGGAGCCAAAGATGGCTCGGCTTGGCTCGGCTCGGCTCGGCGGCGGCTCCCCTACATCCCTACGCAAGCAGCCTCGCATGTTACTGGCAGGTTACTGGACCTGTTACTGGACCGCGGCGCCGCGGCGGCTGCCAGGAATCCTCGGAAGGTTCGTCCAAAGGCGATAACGTGATCTGCCCGTCCGAGGTGTCGCGAGCCAGTGGTTGCAAGAGGACCTAAGCCCGTCCGACCTGTCAACCGATGTGATCGCGTTAATGTGTTGATCTTATCTGCAGTCTTCCTTTACCGTCCGATCGTCCTGGGAAAGGGGGCGAGATTTCCTCCTGGGTTCACTTATAAGCTTCCCCCCCCCAAAAAAAAACCGATCTGTCGTCCAACGTGATCCCGTCCCACCTGTCGTAAGGTCTGTATGCCTGAACCGTGTCGCTTCGAGTCGGCAAGCCGCCAGCTGTCTGCCAGCGTGATCGTGAACACGTGCGACTTGTGAAAGATGCTAGTGGTGTCGCTTTACAGTACACTTGCCGTGCCGAAAATGCTTCGTTGCCGCGCGTCACTTGCTTCCAGCTGTCTGACATGTTGTTACCCGTGCGGCGGATCGGATAAAGAACGACGAGGGTACCTTTTCCGGGCGGCATTCCACGAGGGCATGGAAAGCTTTCCACACTGTGAATACGTGTCCGCCGAATAGGAAACTAATCCACGAGCTGACGTGTAAATAGGTCATGACTTTTCCACGCACGCGAGGGGAACTGGTGTGAGGCCGGCACGACTCTTCCACGCAGCGCAGTTGCGGGGACATATAAATCACTGACAAGTGGTCATCTGATCTGACCAATCATCTCACGTTTTACCGACAACAGGGATAAGATAGCGTTCCTAGGTCCAGTCCAGCTTGTGTGGTTGGTGGTGTGAGGCAGGGCGCGCACCCGAGGCTCCCGTCCGGTCAGGCCGAAAACCTAACGTGAAGGTTTGGTTTGGAAGACCCAAGCTCGGGAAGCAGCCCAGGGGTCCCGCTGCTCGTATGCCTTCTGTATGTTCCTTGCGTTGCAAAATAGTTAGCCTCTTAAATCGCTTTCAACCATGTACAACCGTCCTGAGCCGCGAAGCTGAACTGTTAATGTATAACGTGAACAGACACCCTAAAAAACGAGGCTTGATTGGAACTGGGACGGAAGGAAACCCTGATGCGGCCTTGATACCAAACGGACAGACGGTCGGTTCGGAACCGTCGCGAGAGGTTTGACTGGGCCGGAGCCACCGACGCACCCGCACTTTCCCAGCTTGGACCTGAACAGTATGTTTGCGTGTGCGCCAAACATGGGGGAGTGTCGGGGATGATATGGCCAAAATGACTTCGACTGGCTGGAAATGGGGTTCAGTAATAAGGGCGACGTCAGGTTGTACAACTTTTTGCACGTCCACTGCGGTTGACTTCGTTTCAACACGGTGAAGAACGGTAAATAGAAAGAACCGTTTCTCACCAGTTTAAATCGTTTTGAACCACGACACAAGAACTGTAAACCTGCGAGAAATGTATACTAACCTGACATCGCCTCGTTTCTATCCAGCACCACCCTCCATCCAGCTCCATATCGATAAGCTAGATCACCTAGCGAGGACAAGCTGAAGAACCATCCGAAAACATCCGCGCTACTGTGATCACTTTTAACGCTACTAATTTAAAAAAGACGCAATTTCTATAAGCCATCTTGCGAAGTTACCATGCTAGAAGGTAAATGGCGGGGAGGGGGAGGACACGATCGGGCAATGCGGTACGGATACCCGTACGACTACCATACACTTGAAGGACGCGGGTGACACCAGCTGCCCTCACTCACATCCGTTAATTGTACACTATTGGGGTGGATGGCGCTCTTATGCAACCGTACCGTATGTCTGCTGTGCAGTGGAGCCAGGAGGCCACCGCCACACTTCCAGAGTTGGGGGAATCACAGCACATTACAGCAGGTTGAGCACAATTCAGCACACAATTCAAGCAGGCAACACCGCCCTAAACATGTGTGTGATGTTGTACTCATTCCCTCAGTCCAGTCAGTCACCGAACCGGTACCGTTCACTGCAACTTGTCTACCGCGATTTGACACAATGTCTTTCTTGCTGTACAACAGTAGCAGCGGCAGCAGCGGCCGCAGAGGCAGAGCGCGGTGAGGTGAATCCCTGTACAACAATATCCTGAATCAAGGTGTTGGGAGTACAGTAACTTCCATGGTAGTTGAATGAGCACCCAGCAAGAGCACACAGCACATCACAGCCCCTCTTTGCGGAATATACGGCGGGAGTTGAATGAGCCACCGCATGCACCAGATTCCGTCTTGAGCTGACGTATTGCAGAAGCAGCCGTCACTCGCCCTTTCGACACAGTCACCCCTCTCCCTCCAACACCAGCCACCGAACTCCCCTCATGCCGCACGCTCCCTTCATGCCCCACACCTTGCTGCCTGACCCTATCTCCCTGCCTCACTCTGTCCATGCCACACGGCCCTCTGCCACCCCCCTCTTTCCTCTCCCTGCTCCCACCTACCCCTCCACTGGGACCCAGTCTTGAAGCAGCACCAGCAGCATCACCCGCACAAGCACCACCAGCAGCAGCAGTAGCAGCAGCATCACTTGCGTCACCCACACTACGGGGTCGCTCGTTCCAGCTCCCCCCTATTGGACTCAGCATGTGCTTCTGGAGCAAGCGCTCACGAGCCCTGTCTCCTGTGGCTGGCCTGATACTCGTTTGAGCACCACCACCACCACCAGCACCACCACCACCACCAGCACCACCACAACCACCACCACCACCACCAGCACCACCACCAGCACCACCACCAGCACCAGCACCAGCACCAGCACCAGCACATGTCTCCATTACTCTCCGCAGCAGCAGAGAGTGACTGGTTATGGCGGGCTGTGCCCCTGTGTGGAGCGCATTTGGGATGCATGACCGATTTCCCGAGTTATCACCCACTCTGCTCCCCCAACGGCGTTCCCTCTCCCCCTCTTCTTCTGCTGCCGCTTCCTCACTTTGCTCCTCCTCTTCCTCCTCCTCTTCCGCCTCCTCCTCCTCCTCCTCCTCCTCCTCCTCCTCCTCCTCCTCCTCCTCCTCCTCCTCCTCCTCCTCCTCCTCCTCCTCCTCCACCTCCTCCTCCTCATCTGTCTCCCCTCCAAGCGCCACCCACTCAGCAACCCCCTCACCAACCCTCGTCCGCCGTTCCCCTTCACACTCCACCACCAGCACATCCACCTCTACCCCACTACCCCTCCCTCCTCCTCTCCCCTCCCTCCCCATCCCTTGCACTCCTCTCCCACCACCCTTGACTCTCAACCCCCCCACCCCCTCCTCCTCCCAATGTGCATCCCCCTCGCTCCCACTCCCTCTGCTGCAGCTACTCCCACTAAGCAGCCTCAGCAGATCATACTCCCTTGCATGTTTAAACTCCACCTCCCTCGCCTTCCCCTTCTCTTTCCCACCTCGGCTCCCTTGCTCCCTGCGCTTGCTCCCTTTCTCCCCACCTGCGTCCTCCACTCCTGCACAGCCTGCCCCCATCTGATCGCCCACAGTACCCCAACCAGGCCTGCCCAACCCCCTGCCAGCTTCGTGATATGCACCATCAAGTTCCTCCTCCTTACCATCATAAGCATCAGCATCGCCCTCTGCTTCCCCATCTGCTGCACCATCACCATCACCATCACCATCACTATCATCATCATTGTCACGCGAGCATGCATCCTCCCCATTATCCAGTACTAACATCTCCACAGCATCTACCATCCTCCACTCCCCTCTCCCTTCAACATCGCCTGCTCCACTGTCCCCGCTATCCCCACTCGCCTCACTCTCCTCACTGCTCTCACTGCAACTAATGCTCCTACTGCTGCTACAGCACCTACTGTCCCCGCTCTCCCCACCGCTTACAAATTCTCTTTGAGAGTTCTCAGAACCAGTAGCTCTATTCCCACTGTGCATGGATCCTATCTGGCCCCATGGCTTCTCACGATCTGCATCCTCCCCTTCTTCCTCCTCAACCTCCTCCCCTCTCTCACCATCACCATTTTCATCACTCTCCCCCTCCTCCTCGAATTCCTCCTCCTCATCCTCTACCCCCTCCTCTTCCCTCCACATGCCGGTAAACCCCTCCCGGCTACACTCCTTCCTATCATCTAAACACAGCCAATCCACACCACTCAGCTTTTCTTCCAACTCCTCCCTCACTTGTCCACCCGCCTGGATGCCCCATGGAAGAAACTCCATTCCCTTTTCCTCCTCCTCCTCCTCCTCCTCCGCCTCTCTCCCGCCTCCCACATCCCATAATCCCCCCTCCTGAACACCACGCTCTCCCCACTGCTCCTCTCCCACCATCCGCGCCTTGCTGCCCCTCCCCGCCTCACTGTTCTCTGCTTCACAGCAAGACCAAGGCACCCCACTCGCCACTGCCATCTTTCCCTGGCATGCCGTCCCATCCTTGTTACTACACCCTCTCGTGTCACTCTCACACATATCACCATTGCACCACTTGTCACATGACCCACACACCTCACACGCCTCACCACCACTCTTCCCATCAAGCATCTCATCACTCCTCCCATCACTCCTCCCTCCATTTCTCTCAACCCCTTCCCTCCCTTTAGTCCCCTCATCCACACCCTCACTCCCTACCCCTGCCCACTCTCTCTCCCCATCCCAACCACCTTCCCCTCCCGCCCCCCCTTGCCATTTCCCCACATCCCTCCCTCGTCCATCCACAAACTTGCCTTCCTCCCACCCCCTTTCCCCATTTCCCCCGCACACCACCACCGCAACCCTATTAGGCACATCATCACCCCTCCCATCCCCTCTCCGCCTCCCCCTCCCCTTTCCGCTTCCCCTTCCCCTCGCCCTCCATTTCTCGCCCTCCAATTCCTCCTCGCCACAACCCGCCCTCCCCAAGGCCTCCCTTTCTATCGCCAACCCTGTCCGCCCTTGCCTCCCTCCCACTTCCCCTCCCATTTCCCCTCCCACTTCCCCTCCCACTTCCCTTCCCACTTCCCTTCCCACTTCCACTCCCCTTTCCACTCCCCCTTCCCTTTCATTCCCCACTTCCTCCTCACCCCATCCCTCACCCCCTCGGTCAATTCCTCCCCCAACCCTTCCCCACTCCCCTGTCCCTGTCAACCCCTCTCTCCTCCACTCCCCTGCCGCCCTCCTCCCTCCTGCCCCTCTGTAACCCCCCTCCTCGACCAGGTCACTCATTCTCTGCCAATCCTCACCCCACTCCTCCCCTCTTAGCCGCCTGCTCCCCACACCACATTCCGACTCTACTCCCCCTTTCTTCTTACCCCCTCTCCTCCCTTCCTTGCTACTACGCTCCATGCCACCGCCCCTCTTCTTGCCCACGGGAGAAACAATGGGACCAGTGGGCTGTTTAGGGTTCATATTTCGCTGGAGAAAGTCTTGACTGCGGTTGAAGTATTCTTCCAGTGTTTGCTGCTTTCGCGCTGCCAGCAGCAGCCGCTGCTGCTTCTGCTGCTCCTGCTCCTGCTCTTGCCCTTGCACCTGCCCCCGCCCCTGCCCCTGCCCCTGCCTCTGCTCCCGCTCCTCCTCCCGCTCCGAACCCCGGCTTGAGAAACCGCACCCCTTACTCCCCTTCTCCTGCCCCTGCCGCTCGCCGTTCGCATGCCCAGACCGCCGCCACTGGTTCGTGCTGCCAAGCCTGGAGCTCACGTCCGGAAGCACGTTCGGGACAAGCACCACTTGAGCTGTGGGGCGAGGCGGTGAGACAACAGGCTGGGAACGAGGAGGAGCCGTTCTGGCTCTTCCCAACTTACCACCTCCGCTCTCTTCCTCAAATCCAATGTTGATACGGCCACCAGCTGCTGCTCTTCCTCCTGCTGGTGGTGATTGTGATGGCAGGCGGTTGGGGGAAATGACGCATCCACGGACTACCAGGTGGCCCTTTGCAGTGGAGAGAGAGGTGAACGGCGACGCACCAGCACATGCTGCAGCAGCAGCAGCAGCAGCAGCAGCACCGGCACCAGCAGCAGCAGCACCGGCACCAGCAGCAGCAGCACCGGCACCAGCAGCAGCAGCACCGGCACCAGCAGCAGCAGCAGATGGAGAGGCCATGTGAGAGGAAGGCATGGTCCCACGACTGCTACTGCCAATCGAAGCCACTCGCCCTCCTAGCCCTCCTCCTGGTCCCCACGGGCCTCCGTCCGTCCCTCCCCATCGAAGCTGCTGCCTGAATATCATCGCCTGGCGTGGCAGCAGCGCAGAGGAGCGGGGTGGGGAGGAAGTTGATGGGGCGGAGCAATACGCGCTACCTTCCCTTCGAATGCCTCTGCTGCCGCCGCTGCTGCCGCCACTGCTGCTGCTGCTGCTGCCGCCGCCGCCGCCGCTGCTGTTGTGTAGGCCTCCACTAGTCCCACTCCTATCCCTGCCTTCCTCTCCTCTGGGCTTACGAATGCTGCTCTCGCTAGGGCTTCGAGCCATTAGTTGCGCCATGCTTATCCTGCTACCACCACCAGCAGCATCAGCAGCAGCAGCAGCAGCAGTAAGGCCACCGCTGCCGCCACCACTACCACCTATACTGGCACTGCTGAATCGACTGATGGTGCTGCTGCTGCTGCTGCTGCCATTGCTGCTGCTGCTGCTGCTGCTGCTGCTGCTGCTGCTGCTGCTGCTGCTGCTGCTGCTGCTGCTGCTTCGAAAGCCAAGGCTGCTTGCCAGACTGCTAGGAGCTCTACCCCCACCAGCACTAACGCTTGATCTTCCCAAAAACATCCTCGCAGAAAAGCTCCTGCTGCTGATTTTGCCGCCGCTGCTGCTGCTGCTGCTCCCTGCACCTGCATCTGTGCTTCCACCCACACGCTCCTCCAGCCATCGCGCTGAGTCCTCTCCCCCCCACTGCAAATGCAGAGGCTCGCTGGATAAACTCGCATTTTCCCGGACACTGCCTGCACCATCCCTAGCGATTGCTGCAGCAGCAGTGGCAGCAGCTTTACTAGCAACAGCAGCAGCCACCGTGGAAAGGGAATCGTCGAATCCATCCATCACTTCTCTCGCGCTCCCCCTCCTTCTCGGCCTTCGACTGTGCTTGCGCCTCACATAAGAACCCGCCTCCTCCTCCTCCCCCTCATCCTCCCCTTCCTCCTCCTCCGCCTCGCTTTCCCCTGCTACTGCCGCTGTGGCAGGGACATGAGTGCGAGACAAGATGCTTTCAGCAGCGGGAGCAGGGGTGGGAGTGCTCCCTGCCAGTCCTCCTGCAGTCACTTCCAAGGAAGCACACCGCCTCAGTCCCTCCCTCCCCTGCTGCTGCTGCTGCTGCTGCTCATAATGATTCTTTTGTAGGCACTGCTGCCGCAGCTGCTGCTGCCGTGGCTGGTGCTGGCGCTTGGCCGACCTGCCCTCTGCAGGTGCTCTGTTGGGCGAGAATGGAGCACACACAATTAGAGCAGCATCAGTAACCATGGCACCACCATCACCACCACCATCAGAAACAGCAGTGGTGGGGAAGGCGGTGACAGCAGGTCGGCCTGACCCAACCGAGTCGTCCAAAGAGAGCGACTTGCGATGGCGTGATCGGCACGGACTGGATGATAGCGCGTATGGCGGTCGCGGCGCGGGTGCCGCCACATCCGGCGCGCAACCTCCTGGCGACGACCGACGTGTGAGAGGCATCGAGACGTCGACGCGATCGTCGCTGGGTCGGCGGCGGTGCGTTGCGGTGGAGAAATTATGCGATGAGAGATGATGCGGTAAGAAACGGTCGCTTGTAGTAGCTTGCGGTGCGGTTAAACCGTTGCCGACGCTAGAGCTTCGTGGAAAAGCAGGTGGCCTTGAAGAAGTATGCCGTTGCTGGGACACATTGTCGTTAAATACCGTCGCCGTCACCGTCGCCATCGTCGTGAGACAGTGTATTGGTGATCACGCTGCTGCTGTGATTACAGGCGTCACTCCTTCCTAGGAACGACAGGCCCAGTTGAACCGCGAACGATCGAGTTGAGGTGTCGACTCCTCGCGTCACATGATGTGGCTGCCGAAACAGTTGATTGGCAATTTAGATGTAGGTGATTATGCGTGACGTGTAAGTCGTGTTTCTCGAGATTATCTCCTCATTTACTTCGCATTGAAAGTGAGGGCAAGCTGCCAGGCTTACTTACCTCTATCCTGCTGTACTTCAGGTTCCCTCGTGGTTGCTGGCAAACTGCATTGAGGCAACGGATCTGACTGGTCATATCTTATCACCACTCGAAAACGTACCAAACCATTGTGAACTGCATTAAAACGAATTTCTGGGACACAGCCACGACCAGAGCACAGTTGAGGGGTCATATCGGGCATGGCAGTTCATCTACACCCTGATTCTCGCTACACTGAACTCTGCCGAACTGGTGGAAAACCTTGTCATCTTCGATTTGCCTAATTTAACCATAGCGAAAATTACTGTAACCACCATTAACCGTGCTTTTCCCATCTTGACTTCATTATAACCGAATTCACATGGTGTACACATTGACAACACGCAGCACTTCGCATCATTAGGAAGAGTCAACATCTTCGACTTCGTGACAAAAACATATTATTACGTTAATAAATCGCAACTACCAACAATATCATACCAATCTCCTGCAAAAAACTTACACTGTTCCCCAGCAAAGACCCTGAGAGTGACCAGCACATATTTGTAAGCAGACGTCAACCTTACACAAGAACAGATCTTATGACGGAAGGATGTAGTCACTGGTTGGAAGGGAGAGCAGCAGCTATGGCCTCCTTGATCTCCTTGGCCTCCTCTGCTGCAATCATGGGCCCGCTCTTGCCAAACGATAGCAGCCCTGCACACACACAAGCAAACACAGAGACAACCAGGGGCACAAGAGAGGGTCACAAGAAAAAGGCGCCAGGAACTTCCAGTGTCACGAAAGGCGGATGGGGGAGAGTGTGTCGCGTGGCAATTGCTTTAGAGGTACGTGGATGGGCAGGTGTTTGGGTGGGCATGCATGCAGGAGAAGCGGCATGGGAGGAGGCCAACACGATGCAGAGGAGTGGAGGCCGGTAAAAAAGTGGAGGGGCGTGTGGCAGGGAGGAGGAAGAGGCAGAGAGGAAGAGAAAGGGACGAAATGCAGGGAAGGAGGGGAAGAAAGGGGTGGGGGAGAGGAACAACAAATCGTTGAACAAAATGAGGGGGAGGAAGACGCGGGAGGAAGCGGCGTGCGTGCATACCGTCTGCTTCGGTGCGTGGCAGCACATGCACGTGCACGTGGAAGACCACCTGCCCTGCCGGCCCCCCGTTGTTCTGCCCCACGTGGTCATGCAGGGAAGGGGGGAAGAGGAAGGGGGCAGGGGTGGGGGTGGCAGAAGGAGCGCGGAAAAGAGAGGGACAGCACGGTGAATGGAAGGTATGCCCGCTTGCAGCACGTGTGCACGTGGTGTGCACGTGGTGTGCACGTGGTGTGCATGTGGTGTGCACGTGCATTTAGAAGACCACCTGTTTAGCCAGGCCAGCGTTGTTCTGCCCAGTGTGCGGGGAGGGAGAGTGATGTGCGAGGGAGAAGAGAGTGATGTGCGAGGGAGAAGAGAGTGATGTGCGAGGGAGAAGAGAGTGATGTGCGAGGGAGAAGAGAGTGATGTGCGAGGGAGAAGAGAGTGATGTGCGAGGGAGAAGAGAGTGATGTGCGAGGGAGAAGAGAGTGATGTGCGAGGGAGAAGAGAGTGATGTGCGAGGGAGAAGAGAGTGATGTGCGAGGGAGAAGAGAGTGGCTGAAGAAAATAGAGGGACAGCAAGGCGCACAGGGAGCAGGAGCATGTGATATATATGGGGAGCAGCAGCATGGAATACATAGCAGCGGGCAGCTCATGCGCGTGTGTGTGTGTGCGCATGTGTGTGTGCCTCTGTGTGTGTGTGTGCATGTTGCAAGGCGCCTGGGAAAAGGCAGTGGAAGAGGCGTGCATACCTGGAAGATGTTGACGCCCTCTGCGCCTGTGGCGGTGCGCACGGCCTTGGACACCGCTGGCAGCAGCTTCAGCAGCTGCACACTCTCCTCCTCCGGCATATCCTCCATGAATGCATAGTGGCGTAGTTCAATGCGGTGCATAACACAGGGTGGTTATGGGGTGGTGACGACGGAGGTGGTAAGCAGGAGGGAGATCCAGTAACGGTAGTGCCAGGGAAGAAGAGAAGGAGAGAAGAAAGGGAGGCGTGGGAGAAGAGAAGGAGAGAGGGGGCGGGTGAGCAGTGTTGGGGGGAGAGAGTTTGGGAAGACGTGTTAAGGAGAAAAACGGTTATAAGAAAGACGTTTAGGGAGAGGCTGCAAAGCAATTCACAAACAATGAAGCAGACAGGCAGGTTACAACAAGCCGGGAGGGGAATGGCAGAGGGATGGTTAAGAGATGGCGGAGAGATGGCGGACGGATGGAGGAAGGATGGCGGAGGGATGGCGGAGGGATGGCGGCCGGATGACGAGAGGGATGGCGGAGGAATGGCGGAGGGATGGCGGAGGGGGATATGTGCTTCTTGGGGATGATGAGCGTGTGGCCGCGCGCCATGGGGAAGGCGTCCAGGATGGCGAGTGCGTGCTCCGTCTCCCACACCTTGTGCGACGGGATCTTGCCGTCCACAATCTGATGGTGTCGTGGTGTGGGATGGGAGAGCAGACAGACGTGAGGGTTAGAGGGGATGCTGTGAGGGAGGTGAGGGATGGGATGGGATGGGATGGGGTGGGGTGGGGTGTCACGAGTGTTGAGCGTGCTCCGCCTCCTCCCACCCACACCTTGTGCGATGGGATCTTGCCGTCGCGGATCTGATGGTGCGCCAGACGGGAGGCGTAAGATGCGCATTCCGCGTGGATTGAAGGTTTTTTTTTTCTCTCCCTTGCGATGCGCACCTTGCAGAAGATGCAGCTGTCCTCGCCGTGGGTCGCCACCAGCCCCGCGGATTCGTCGCCAGACGCCATCGCACGCACGCTCTGCGACGCTGAGCGACGAAACTGGCGGACGGCGGCGGAAAATGCGATCGCAGGCGTCGCAGGGTGTGACCGCGCCGCCGCGGAACCGAGCAGTGAGAGAGCGGTGGGGAGTACAACCGAGGAAGGCGGAAGAGCGGGAAGCGGGGGCCGCGGGGGAAGAGCGGCGGTGGAACGCGACGCGCGGTGAACCGCGGAGACGAAGCTGGTGTTGCTGCTGCTGCGGAGAGAGGGCAGCGCGGCGGAGCGAGCGAGCATTGCGGGGAGCGCGCGCGGGCAGCTTACTATGTGAGCCTACGTTGTCTGCTCGTGGAAAGAAATGTGGGAGGGGAATGCGTCGGGAGGGGCAACTGGGTTTACAAAGGCAGTGTGGAAAAACCATGGACCAAAAGTTGGACATTGTGCGTCACGAAAATTCGCGAAAAGTTCCACCCAGTAACAATGTCGTCGGTACGAAAACCAGGGAACAGGGAATCTGGTTTGGGATTTTTCCATCCCTAGGCCTTGCGCTTGCCAAACACCTCTCACATCGCGGCGCGTCTCGTCGTCTCTCGTCGCATATCGTCGCGCCTCGTCGCACTCTCGTCGCATCGCTTGGACCAGCTACTATCAGCCTTTCTCAAGAGGCCGCAACACCAACGCAAATCAACCGGCGACCCTTGAGTCGACTCTCGAAAGTCAATGGCGTTAGTACCACCCCTGAACCAGCGCGAAGCGCGCCCGCCGCCGGACGCGGAAGCAGCAACTGCGCCGCCGACGGACGCGGAAGCAGCAACTGCGCCGTCGCCACGGGACGCGGAAGCGGCGGTGGCTGCGCTCGCGGCGTCGCCCGTTCCCGCAGCGTCCTCCCGCCCTGTCGAAGCAGCCGTTGCAGCTAGTGCGAGGTCAATCAACGCGGAGCGCGCGGTCAACACGGTCAACGCTTGTAGCCCGGTCAACGCGGTCAACGCGAATTGTGCAGCAGAGGCGGTCAACTCTGCCAGCACAAGCAGCGACGTGATGAGAATGAGCGACCTGCCCAACGCGATCCAGCTACGCATCCTCTCGCTCCTCGCATCTCCTCCTCCCTCCCTGCCTGCCGCCGCTCCCCAGCAGCAGCAGCAGCAGCAGCAGCAGCAGCACGCAGCGCCCATCTCCATTCTGACCAGCAGCGGTAGTAGTAGTGCCAGTGTCAGTGCTGCTGCGGGTGGGGAGAGTAGCGGAGAGCAATTGAGTGCGGGTGGGGGGGCGCATGCGGAGGAAAGAGGGGAGGAGCAGGATCAGGAGGAGCGGCGGGTGAGGGCTGCAGTGGCGGAGATGATAACACGTGGCTATGCTGTGCTGGATGGCTTCATGGGGATGGCCGAGGTGAGAGGACGAGAGGGACTCCTGTTCCTGCTCCTGGTGTTAGTGCAAGCGCACATTCCCTTCCCTGTCCTCCCACTTCCCTCCCCTCCCCTCCCCTCCCCTCCCCTCCCCTCCCCTCCCCTCCCCTCCCCTCCCCTCCCCTCCCCTCCCCTCCCCTCCCCTCCCCTCCCCTCCCCTCCCCTCTCCCGCTCAGGCGGTGGCAGCAAGGGCGGAATTAGAGCAGCTGCGATCGGCACAGTGCATGCGACCCGCACCTCAAACCCCACCTGCACCTTCGCTTCCCTGTGCTCCTGCTCCCCTCCCCTCCCCTCCCCTCCCCTCCCACGCACAGGCGGTGGCAGCAAGAGCACAGTTGGAGCAGCTGCGATCGGCAAATTGCATGCGACCAGCACGCATAGGCGGGGGTGACTTTTGAGTCGACTCAAAAGCCTCCTTTCTTTCTCCTCCCACTTCCCTCCTCTCCCCTCCTTCCCTCGCACAGGCGGTGGCAGCAAGGGCGGAGGCAGAGCAGCTGCGATCGGCGCAGTGCATGCGACCCGCACGCATAGGCGGAGGGCAGGGAGGAGCAGCAGCAGCAGCAGCAGCAGCAGCAGCAGTAGCAGCAGCACTGGCGCTAGCACTAGCAGGAACAGGAGCAGGAGGAGGAGCAGGAGGAGGGGCAGGAGGAGGGGCAGGAGGAGGGGTAGGAGGAGGGGCAGTAGGAGGGGCAGGGGAGGAGATGAGTCTGGTGGGGGGTCCGCAGGTGGACGTGAGTGTGAGGGGCGATGTGCTGGTGTGGCTCACGTCCCTGCCCAGAGAGCAGTTCTCCCCCTACACTCATCCTCACCTGCACCGCATTGTGTCTCATGTTGCTGCCCTGCGCCCCCTGCTGCACTCGGCTCCTCGTGCTTCCGCTGACCCTGCTGCTGCTGTTGCTGGTGAGGATGATACTGCTGCTGCTGGTGCTGCTGCTGGCAGTGGTGGTGCTGGTGCAGATACTGGGGGTGCTGCTACCAGGATCACTGCTCGCGCATCTGCATCCCCTCTACCTGCGCCCTCGTGTCCCCTGGACGTCTCGGGAAAGTTCTCCTGTCAACTCGCATGCTACCCTGTAAGCTCCCCGCCCCTCACATCCCCCACCCCACCCCACACAAGCCCCCCACGCCCCACACACCACACATGCCCCGCCCCGCACAACCCACACACGACGTGCCTGGAACCTCCATACACCGTCACCCCTCACACGTTTCTGCTTTTCATGCGATAAGAAAAGGGGTTTTCCTCCAGGCTCCAGCACGGCACATGGACAGGCTCCCTTCCAGCACGGCACATGGACAGGCTCCCTTCCAGCCGCTGTCGCAGCGTGACTGTTGAGGCTCCTCCGCAGAGTGACGTTTGAGGCGCCTCAGAAGTCAACTCTGCCATGATGCATTTTTTTAGGCGCCTCAAAAGTCAGCCCCTGTCACCGAGTGACTCTTTGTCAAGTCAACGTGTGAGAATCTCGTCTTCTCTTCATCCGACTTTTGAGTCGACTCAAAAGTCACAACGTGTGAGAATCTCCTCTTCTCTTCATCCGACTTTTGAGTCGACTCAAAAGTCACAACGTGTGAGAATCTCGTCTTCTCTTCATCCGACTTTTGAGTCGACTCAAAAGTCACAACGTGTGAGAATCTCCTCTTCTCTTCATCCGAATTTTGAGTCGACTCAAAAATCACAACGTGTGAGAATCTCCTCTTCTCTTCATCCGCCCGTCCCCTCTATCTACCCCTCACTCATGGCAACGGCGCATGATACGCGCGGCACACGGACCGGTCCCCTTCCAGCCCGCACCGCAGGGTAACTTCTCTCTACTACATCAACGGTTTTGTTTGATAGTATTATCCCCCCTGCCCCCCCTCCCCCCCTCCCCCCCCGGTTGCTCTCAGGGCAATGGCACTCGGTACGCACGGCACACGGATCGGTCCCCTTCCAGCCCGCACCGCCGGGTGACGGCTCTCTACTACCTCAACCCTTCCTGGGACCCCGCCTCCATGGGCGGCAACCTGCGGCTGTATCTGCCGCGCGCGTCTCATGTGGGGGACGGTGGTGCTGTAGGAGCAGCAGCAGAAGCAACAGAAGAAGCAGCGTCAGCAGCAGCTGTTAGAACAGGGATGGGTCATGCATACAGGGCTGGTGGCGGTGGTGGTGGCGGTGGCGGTGGCGGTGGCGGTGGCGGTGGCGGTGGCGGTGGCGGTGGCGGTGGCGGTGGTGGTGGTGGTGGTGGTAACAGCGATGGGAAGCACCAAAGGGGAGAGGAAGAGGGAGAGGAGGGAGAGGAGGGAGAGGAGGGAGGGGAGGAGGAGCAAGAGTGCAGTGTGGACATAGCGCCGTTGGCAGACCGTCTGGTGCTGTTCCTCAGTCATATACCCCACGAGGTCCTGCCCTCGCACGCCCACCGCTTCTCCCTCACCTTCTGGTTCTGCTGCTCCCCGCTCGCACAGCAGGCAACTCCTGAGGCGGTTCCAACGGGAGTAAGCTGCACAGATGGCCCCCACTCGCATGGACAGGAGGAGTGCACAGCGCCAGGGGCAGGCGTGCAGGGGAACAACGTGCAGGGGGCAGGGGTGCAGGAGGGAGGAAGTGGAGGGCTAGGAGGTTTTGAGACGTCTCAGCAGCACTCGCATGGACAGGAGGAGCGCACAGCGGAAGGGGGACGTGTGCAGGGGGGAGGAAGTAGGGGGCTAGGAGGGGAGATGGCGGGGCGAGGGGGGTTGCCGAGGGATGGAGGGGGTGCTTTGGGTTGTGAAAGAGGGGGAGGTTGGGAGCAGAGAGCAGGGGAGGGTAGCGCAGGGGAGGGAAGCAAGGAGGTTGATTTTGAGAATTCTCAAAAGCAACCTCAAACAAGTTGGGAGCAGAGAGCAGGGAAGGGTAGCGCAGGGGAGGGAAGCAAGGAGCGCATCTTTGTGTCGATAGCGAGCTACAGGGACTCAGAGTGTGTGTGGACGGTCAGAAGCCTCCTGGAGAACGCTGCTGTGTGGCAGCAGGTCACTGTGGGCATTGTTTGGCAGGTGGGAGGGAAGGCGAGCAGCATGCATGGTAGATTCGTTTTGAGGCGCCTCAAAACCGGAAGGCGAGCAGCATGCATGGTAGATTCCTAAGTCGACTGAGAAGTTTGGAGGCGTGTGTTGATTGAGTCGGCTCAAAACACGGTTGGTTGAGAGAACATGCTGAGATGACCATTCCTGAGTCCACTGAAAAGGCTTGCAGGATATTGAGTTTAAGGCATACAGCATGAATGGTCGCATGATTGATTGCACATTTGTGTTCACAGTAAAGTGGTACCCGTTACTGTCGTCTCCACTGTGCCCTCCTCTCCCCTTACCGCTGATCCTCTCACCCTGTTCTTCACCACCTTTCACCACTCTTCCTCACGCTTCACCGCACTTCACCCCATGTGTCTCTCAGCTTAGATCGAGGAGGAAGACCATGCAGTCACCACTGCAGCGCTGCTGTCCTCCCTGCCGGCCTGCTACCACCCACAGATAAGACAGGTGCGGCTACCACTGACAACCTCACATGCCCGTCCCGTGCTGACGCTTCTTGCACACGCTGCCTATTCCCACTCCGTGGACAGAATGCATGTTCTTCCACAGTTGCAGCGCCGCCTTTGCTGTCCCATGCTCCCATGCTCCCATGCTCCCATGCTCCCATGCTCCCATGCTCCCATGCTCCCATGCTCCCATGCTCCCATGCTCCCATGCTCCCATGCTCCCATGCTCCCATGCTCACATGCTCCCATGCTCACATGCTCCCATGCTCACATGCTCCCATGCTCACATGCGCCCATGCTCACATGCTCCCATGCTCCCATGCTCACATGCTCCCATGCTCACATGCTCCCGTGCTCACATGCTCCCATGCTCACATGCGCCCATGCTCACATGCTCCCATGCTCCCATGCTCACATGCTCCCATGCTCACATGCTCCCGTGCTCACATGCTCCCATGCTCACATGCTCCCATGCTCACATGCTCCCATGCTCACATGCTCCCATGCTCACATGCTCCCATGCTCACATGCTCCCATGCTCACATGCTCCCATGCTCACATGCTCCCATGCTCACATGCTCCCATGCTCACATGCTCCCATGCTCCAGTCTTCCATGTTCTCATGCTATCGTCCTCCCATGTTCCTATCTGAGACAGGTGGTGCTACCAGCATGCATGGCAAGGGGACCCTGCTGGGCGAGGGCCATAGCTCAGCACATGTGGCAGAGCGAAGAGTACTACCTCCAGGTGGGTGGGTGGCAGGCGGGAGGCAGATGGGCGGCAGGTGAGCAGCAGGTGGGCAGCAGGTGGGCGGCAGGCGGGCAATAGGTCGATGCATTCTTCTCCTTGCATTGGTCGTGACTTGTGAGAAATCTCAATAACCAAGCATGCATGTCACCTCTCGTCTTTCCGCCATCCTCGTCTCTCTCAGAGAAGCAGCATTTCTTTTCTGTTTGCTCTCACGCCGTCCCTCCTTCTCGTCACATTCAATCCCTCTCCCCAATTTCCGCCCAACTCTGAATCTTCCCAGATCGACTCTCACATGCGCTTCCTACCCGCATGGGACACCCAACTCCTTGCCTTCCACTCCCGCGCCTCCCGCCTCTCCCCCAAGCCCATCCTCTCCTCCTACCCCCCTGGTTACTTCGGCCTGGGCGCTTCTGCCGTCATCCCCCCTATAGACGTCTCTTCTGCTTGCGTTCTCCTGTGCGCGAGCCATTTCAGTGAGAGAGACGGAATGCTGAGGATCAAAGGGAGGCGGGTGCGTAGTGAAACATGGGGGAGGAATGGAAGGGAGGAGAGGGGTCGGAGTGGGGGGTCTGCGGATGCTGAGGAGGGGGCAGGGGAACGGGCGGGACGAGGGCGAGAGAGAGGGTTAAAAGGACCAAAAGAGGGAGATGGAAGAGACGGGACAGGGGAAAAGGCTTTTGAGGCGCCTCAAAAGTTAAAAGGACCAAAAGAGGGAGATGGAAGAGACGGGACAGGGGAAAAGGAAGGAGTGGGAGGACAGGGTGCGGTAGAGACAGAGAGGAAGGAGGGAGGGGTGATCCAGGAGAGAGGGATGGGTGGGGGCTCTCCTGTGCCGTCGCTGTTCTGGGCTGCTGGTTTCTCCTTCTCCCGCGCATCAGTCATCCATGAGGTATCTCATCTTCCATGTGCATATCGTGCCGTGCCATGCACTGTGCACACAGAAATACCTCCATGCCTCCTTGCTCCCGCTCTCTCTTCTGAACAGCAAGAATCTTGTGTCATAACCCCCCTCTCCCCTCTTCTCCTTTCCTCCCCCGTACCCCGGCACTCATTCCTTCCCATTCACCATTTGTCCCATTCACCATTTGTCCCATTCACCATTTGTCCCACTCGCCATCTGTCCCCTTCATCCTGCCTTGTCCATGCGCCATGTCTTCCTTGTCCCTTGTCCCCCTCTCTGCCAGGTGCCCTACGACCCCACACTCTCCTTCCTCTTCTTCGGGGAGGAGCTCTCAATGGCACTGCGCCTCTTCACACATGGATATGACTTCTTCTCTCCGCCGCTCCCTCTCGCCTTCCACCAGTGGTCCCGCGCCTACCGCCCCTCTCTCCCTACAGTTGTCGCCCCCTGTCTCGCCCCCTCTCCTGCCCCCTCACGCGTGCCCGCACTCTCATCCTTGTCACCACCGTCTGCGATCAATTCTGCTGCCAAGGCAGCCGCTAAGGCAGCGGCACAGGCGCGGGTTCAGCTGCTGCTGTGCCCCCACGGGGCAAACGGTGCAGGGTGTGAGGGCGAGGAGAGTGGAGAGCAGCAGCAGAGCGGGTGTAAGGAGAGGGAGAGAGCAGCGGCAGTGGTGGCAGCATATGGTGGTGGGGAGCGGCTGGAGTGGAGTGTTGTGCCTTGGACAGACGTGCATGGCAAGGCTCAAGGTACAGTGAGGGTTCTCAAAGAAGCTGAAACTAGTTTTGAGTCGACTAAAAAACGTACGGACGTGCAAGGCAGGGCTCAGGGCACAGTCAGGGTTCTCAAGGAAGTTGAGCCTATGCTCAAAGACGCTGAAACTAGTTTTGAGTCGACTCAAGAACGGACAGACGTGCATGGCAGGGCTCAGGGCACGGTCAGGATACTTGAAGAAGCTGAGACTCATGCCTCTGCTTCTGCTCCCGCTGCTGCTGCTGCCGCTTGTGGTGGTGGTGGTGGTGGTGGTGGTGGTGGTTCTGTTGCCGCTCCCTCTGCAGAACCTACTGCTGCGTCTGTCAGTGTGGCTGGTTGCATGGGAGTGGGAGTGGGGGTGGGAGTGGGGACACAGCGCACGGTGCAGCAGTATATAGAGCACTGTGGAGTGGACTTCTGCAGGAAAGTGGTCAGTGAGCGGGCCAAGAATGGTGGTTTTGACGCCTCGTGTTTTGTGGATGGTGGTGATGCTGCTGGTGATGGTGATGAAGCTGCTGACTTCTAACCCTGCTGACTTCTAACCTAATCTAAAAGTGGTATATGCTTGGTGCTCTCCCTGCTGTTTCACATTGGATTCATTAGTAAGGATGCGCTTGCCTTCCATGGGTGCCACTGCTGCCTGCAGAAATTATTCATCTACGGTAACACGACACTAGATACGGTATTGTACAGGGTTGCACAAGAACTGGTACAGGCTATGCACAATTATTTTATGGACAGTTACAGATTGCACGTCTGCTGTGGTTTCCCAACGGCAGATGCATTCCCTCTGCTCAACCTAGGTAGATCCCCGCTGGCAACAGCAGCACAAGATGGCTGCCCAGAACAAACAATCTTCCTTTCGAACTTCAAATTCTGATGTCTTACCATACAAAGGCTTCAAATTAAACTGCTGAACATACCTATATAAGATGAACCGGAAATAGCATAGCAAACCCTGACCGGAAGAAGACGTTTCAACCAAGGCTGCATAATGTGTCAAGTCTCCTTTTGAGGCGCCTCAAAAGTCAACCAAGGCGGACTAATGTGTCAGTCTCAGAGGCAGCTGTGTACTGGACGGGCAAAGAGGGGAGGCCGGGAACACATGGTGGCGGCACCTGTTCCTCCTTGTTCCATACCCAGTCCTGGTCTCAGACCTAACCCAGCCTGTTGCAGGTACTCTTCAATGCGGCAGCAGAGGTGCAGCAGAGGGATGTCCTGCCCCACGTGCCCCACCACCTGATGATGCGCGTGCAGGGAGGAAGGGAGGGAGGGAGGGGAAGTGAGGAGTCTATTTTTTAGGCGCCTCAATACATGCAGCAGCAGAGGGATGTCCTGCCCCATGTGCCCCACCACCTGGTGATGAGCATGCACAGAGAGAGAGACGGGTGAGAGGAGCAGAGAGGAGTCTATTCTTGAGGCGCCTCAACGCATGAGGCAGCAGAGGTGCAGCAGTGGAATGTCCTGGCGCCTATGCCCCACCACCTGATGATGTGGATGCTCGGAGGGGGGGAAGTGGGGGGCGGTGTGTGGAGCAGAGAGGAGTCTATATTTGAGGCGCCTCAAGAAATGCGGCAGCAGAGGTGCAGCGGTGGAACGTCCTGGTCCATGTGCCCCACCACCTGATGATGTGGATGCAGGGAAACGGGAAGGGAGGGTGGAGGGTTGAGGAGAGAGGAGAGAGGAGAGGAGAGGAGAGGCAGGATGGAGGCATGGTAAAATGAGGAAGCACTGTGCTGAGAAAACGAGACATCCATGTACCAGTGGGTATGCAATCTCCCCAACCCTCCCCCTTCACCGCCCTGCCCTATCCCCCACCTGCATGCCGCATGGAAGCCCATACACAGATCCAAGGGGCATGCTGACCACGGGGTGCCCCGTGAAAGAGCCCACCCCCCCCACCACCCCTCCCTTTTTATGCTGCTCTCCCCACCCTTGCACTTTCCCCCACCCTCCCCACTGCCCCACCTGCATGCCGCATGGAAGCCCATCCACAGATCCAAGGGGCATGCTGACCACGGGGTGCCCCGTGACAGAGAGAGGCACTGTGAACGACCGCAGGGCACGCGGGTACGGGACCTGCTGTGTCTCCTGCGCTGCTGCTGCTGCTGCTGCTGCCTGCTGATGCTTCTTGCTGCTGCTACTGCTTCTGTTGCTGCTCACTTCGATCGTGAGAGGCGAGTGCTGGGGGTTGTGGGCGAATGGCAGGACAGAGGCGACTGCAGGGGAGGGAGGATGAGAGCAGGAGTGGAGAGCGTGGGGGAGAAAAGCGAGGTGTGGAAAGGGATGGTAAGGGATGGTAAAGGAAGGGGGAGGCGAAGCAGGGAGTATGACTGGCAGACGCGTGTCTCTTGAAAGCGTTCAGGAAACAGCTCGACGAACTTAAAGACAGCACCTTATACATACACATATTATTACGTATGCGTGTAGACATGTATGTTTATCATAGGGCAAATCTCAAAACCTCAAGCAATGGCACTGCACCTGGTAGAATCCAAGCAGCAAGGCAGTTATCCGACAGAAACGCCTCCACCACTGCTTGCTGCTGCTCCTGTGTCCTCCGTGCCTCTGCCACTTCCGCCTCCCACCGCTGCTGCCTCTCCGCTTCCCTCTCCGCCTCCGCGTTCTCCCCCTCCTTTGTCGTCCTAAAATGCTCCCCCGCATGACCCATGACAGGTTTACTGCTCTTCCCAGCACCGGGCTTGCGGCCTTGGGAGTGGGCTGGGTGTTGGGGGCGAGGGGCGTGGCGATGCGCTGCAAAGATGAACGCCTGGACTCACATGCGGGTGAGCAGGGCAGGTGAGGCGTGCAGGTGAGGCGTGCAGGTGAGGCGTGCAGGTGAGGCGTGCAGGTGAGGCGTGCAGGTGAGGCGTGCAGGTGAGGCGTGCAGGTGAGGCGTGCAGGTGAGGCGTGCAGGTGAGGCGTGCAGGTGAGGCGTGCAGGTGAGGCGTGCAGGTGAGAGACAGTCAGAAAGAGGAGGTGAGCTCTGAGTTGACTCATAGAGGTGCAGGATTCTCAAAAGTGAAAAATTGACAAACCCAGCGACGGATGGACTCAAAGGTGACAAATAAATCCATTCCCACAAGAAATACACCTGGTTGACTCATAGGAATGCAGAATTTTCTGAAACAGTAAGTTCATCTATTCACGGAATTCAGCGTTTGTTGATTTCGATCATTGGTAGAACACGCTGAAAACACCTGGTCGTCATCAGGGATATCGGTTTCCAGGGCTCCCCACAAGAGTTGTCTTTTCACACAAACCTCAGCAGTGGGACTCCTGGCCCTTCACATGCCTACAATAACACGCACAAATACATCACCCGCTCATCCTTTTTTCAGTCGACTCAAACCCGCCGCCTCCTCACCTCACACGCCTACGGCTGCAAGTGCTCATGAACCGCCCATGAATGACCCACCTTGATTGCCCATGTCCAGAGCTCGAAAGCCCAGCTCTGTCGTTCCTAAAAAAGGCTGCATTAGATGACCCGCCTATGGCATAGCCCACTGCCCACCTTGGATGCCTTGTCCAGAGCTCTGAAGTCCAGCCTCGGAGGAGCCTCCATCAGTACAAACTCCACCACCTGCTGCCCGTTCTCGTGCTGCTGTGGCAGGTGCTGCTGCTGTTGCTGATGTTGCTGCTGCTCTCTGCACGTGCTACCAGAAGGAGCACTTGCAGCATCTAAGCAAGCTGCATCAGCAGCGCTGGCTGTAGCAGGTTGGGAAGTTGCGGCAAGGGCTTGGAAGAGGCGTGAGATGCGGGAGTCAATAGGTGAGCCGGGGAGATGCGGGGAGACAGCCACACGCAGAGGAGGAGGGGGAGAGAGAGGTGGTGGTTGAGGAGGAAGAGAGGGGCGGAGGGGGGTTGGGAGGCGAGAGAAGACAGCTGTCATGATGAAGAGGAGATCCTGCATTGTGCGCTGGGGGGGGGAAGGGGGAGAGCAGGGGGAGCAGGGGGAGCAGAGGGAGCAGAGGTAGCAGGGGAAGCAGGGGGAAGGGGGGAAAAGGAAAGGCGGAAGGGGAGGGGGAGGGGAAAGGGGAGGGGGAAGAGGGGAGTGGGGAGGTGAGGGAGGGTAGGATTGAGGCTGGACAAAGGGAATTAATTGGAGTGGATACAGAACTGACAGAAGTGATGGCAGAAGGGATTTCCAAAGCAAGGCTTATGGCACGGGGCCTTGAGAAGTGAGGCTTTTGAGTCATGTACGCAAGTACGCATGTACGCATGGGACATGGGCAAGAGTGTGTGAGGAAAGGGGAGGGACTGACAGTGAAGACGCCGTACGTGTGCAGAGAGGAGAGGAGAGCGAGCGATGGGAGAGGCACATCTGGGGCAAGCACTGGCCAGCGGTCTCGCGAGGGCCGCAGGGAACAGATGCCACAGAAGGACGCCTGTGGGAGAGGGGAGGGAAGGGGGGAGACGGTGTCAGGTCAAGGGGTCAAGGTGGGTGTGTGCAAAAGAGAGGGGCGGGTGTGTGCAAAAGAGAGGGACGAGAGGAGGTCATAGAATGATGCGTACGAGGGTGGAACGAGGATTATACTCACCATGCGTGAGAGGTTGAGTCAGAGGAAGAGGCTAGGTTGATTGTAGTAATCTAACAAGAGATTGGCAGCATGGCACGAGTAAATGCCATGTGTAACAGTGGGGGGTTGTGGAGATGTGGGGAGAGGGATGCTGATGGGAGAGGAGCGGCAAGAGGGGGGAGGGCTATGATACGGGGGGTATGAGGGGAGGGGGAGGGAAGCGGGTGGGGCAAGGGACGGCAGGAGCAGAGCAGCGTGTTTGTGCGGTTGTGTGGCAGGGTGGCAGTGAGGCAGTGCAAGAGTGCAACAGTGTGACTGACAGTGACGTGAGGCACTGACCGGCAGTCGAAGAGAGCCCTCAAGGTCAGTGCCGAGAGCAAAGGGCACCATGCCTGCTGCCACGGCTGCTGCTGACCCTGATGATGCACACGCACAGGACAGAGAGAGGAGAAGGATCACAGAGGAGGGATGGGGGAGAGGGGATGGGGGAATGGGGGAGAAGACGCGTGCAAGAGTGTGTGGAGTGAGTGAGGTGAGGGACAGTGAGTGGTGAGACATGGTGGTATGGTATGGCACTGTGGGTGGGGCATGGCTTGGAATGGCTTGGTACGACATGGCATGTCACGGCACGACACAGCATGGCATGAGAGCACGAAGAGTCACGCCCTGATAATAGAAGTGTTTTGAGACGTATCATAACACTTTTATAATAATCACAGCACGGCATGAGAGCACGAAGAGGGTATGAGAGCACGAAGAGGGTATGAGAGCACGAAGAGGGTATGAGAGCACGAAGAGGGTATGAGAGCACGAAGAGGGTATGAGAGCACGAAGAGGGTATGAGAGCACGAAGAGGGTATGAGAGCACGAAGAGGGTATGAGAGCACGAAGAGGGTATGAGAGCACGAAGAGGGTATGAGAGCACGAAGAGGGCATGAGAGCACGAAGAGGGTATGAGAGCACGAAGAGGGTATGAGAGCACGAAGAGGGTATGAGAGCACGAAGAGGGTATGAGAGCACGAAGAGGGTATGAGAGCACGAAGAGGGTATGAGAGCACGAAGAGGGTATGAGAGCACGAAGAGGGTATGAGAGCACGAAGAGGGTATGAGAGCACGAAGAGGGTATGAGAGCACGAAGAGGGTATGAGAGCACGAAGAGTCACCTCCTGAGCTTCCCCCGGTTGTGAGGGAGCGGTTGATAGGGTTGTTGGTAACACCGAAGAGGCTGTTGAAGGTCTGAAAGTCCATGGATAGCTGTTGGGGTGGGGGAGACATGACAAGGGTGGGGATGGGGCGGATGAAGGGATCATGGGGGTGATGGGGGTGATGGGGGTGCATGGCATGCATGGCTCTCACATGTGCCACGTTGGTCTTGCCGATGGGCATGGCACCGAGTGAGTGATTGCACGAGAGAGACGGCAGCTATCTTTGAGGCGCCTCAATCCCATGGCACGGAGCATATCTCTAGACGACTTGACTCAAAGGCCGCACGGCATGCATGGCACTCACATGTGGCACGTTGGACTTGCCGATGGGCACGGCACCCAGTGATTGCAGGAGAGAAACGGCGGAGGCAGGGGTGTGAGGAGCTGGCTGGGCCGCAAGTTGCTCGTCACCACACGCTGTGGGCAGCCCTGCCACGTGCACCAGGTCTGGTGGAGGAGAGAGCAGGGGACGCATTTGCGTTGACGTATGTTGAGTCAAGTTGACTTTGCAGCGGTGTTGTGTTGGAGTCACACGCTGTGGGGCAGCCCTGCCACGTGCACCAGGTCTGGTGGGGGGGGGGGCGGAAATAGGTGAGAGGAGGTGGGTACGAAGGAGCAGCAGAAAACGGACGAGAAGGGTTGAGACGCCATAGTAAGGGATAAGGGATGCGCAGAATGGGTACCTTTGACGAGGAAGGGTACACCCTCAAGAGGCCGCTCAACAGCAGAAGCAGCAGCAGCAGCAGCAGCAGCAGAACCACCACTGTCAGCAGCTGACGCCCCTGTTCCTGGAGGTGTTTCTGAGTTTACTCCTACTAGAGCTACAGGCGTCGCAGGTAGCAGCCGTGGTGGAGTTGGAGTCGCGCGCGCGAGGTGGCAGACGGCGTTAATCTCCGGGTTCAGCTGCACGCACTTGCTCCGATAGTGCTGCTCTAGGGATTGCCGCGACAGCCGGCCTTGCCGCACCGCGGCCGCCATCGCCGCCACGCTGCCGTCCTGATGACGGCAATCACCCGGCGGCCGGAAATCGGCACAGCTGCAGTCATGGTCGCAGGCACTGTGTTCACGACTGCAGCACTCATGTGAGGGGCTCGAATGGTTGCAACGGCTAGAACGGGTGGAACGGGTAGAGCAGTGCGGTAGTGAATGGCCGGCCATGGTGCATGGACGTTGAATCGCGCTGAACGAAAAGAATGGGGGATTCGCGAGAGTGCGATGCGGGTCGCGCGATGCCTAACAGCGTAAGGAACCAAAACGGGTATTCATCGTTTGCTAGGGAAGGGGCAAGAAGAGAGCCAGTAGCCGTTTTGCTTGCATTGTGATTCGGATTGCTCGATGTAGAGTAACTCGTTTGGCAACGGTCACATTAATACGAAGAAAGTGACCCATTAATATGAAAATGCAAAAGCTAACGCTCACAGCCTTTTCCTCCTTTTCTACTGCACCGCAATCCATCGCACAGCACCACGCATGGCCTAGCACATGGACCTGCCTGTGCACTGGCATCGCCCTCAAAACCAGGGTCTCGAGTAAGATATTCTGCCATCAACTGCAAAACATTTGAGACTGAGTTACCTTGTTTTTCTAGGCGAGGCGGACTGGTTGGCTAGGGAAGTTGGCGTGCGACACTCCCCCACTTTTGCCTCAGCACCAATTGCAAAACAAATTTCAGGTACAGATGTTCTTGCTTAGAGTCCCAATAAAAAACACACGCGCTGCGGGCCTTTGTGGAAAACCCTTCAAACCCCAGGCAAACGGGACCTTATAGTCCCATATTCAGTAAAATTGCATGGAAATTGGTTTTTCTTCGCTAATAGTTGTTGTTTCTTGTCATATACGTACCAATTCGGAATGCGCTTGATTCAACTTCTTGTCGCAAGAATTCTCCACGTTCATCAGTGTTGCATGACTGACGGGCAGAATAAACAAATTCGGTTCGGTTTTAGGAATTAATGAAAAGAAATATAGTTTGTTTTTCCCTGTCATCGTCGAGCGCGCTGAGTAACGCTCGACGGGATTTAGAAGTAAGCGCGGTCAAGATAAAAAATCAGATGTAGTTTTAAATGTAAATGTCAAAACAAAAATTCCTTTCCTCACATTTTCCGGGTCGGTTCGATTTGGGCCTTCTGATTGGCTGCAGAACTGATCTGCAGTCAAGCTGCAAAATTTCCCGCCAAAAAGGGGACTGTAGAGGAGGGGCTTCACGTAGGACATATATGAAAAAATCTACACGACGGGGAAAATAGACTCTCTTAGGAAGGGCTTCTAAGCCAGAACATTTGTACATGAGACTTTCGACAACTCTTGACATTTCACTGGCACTGTAGCTTCGGCTCCGAACCTGTTTCCATACCTAGAAGGTTTGGAACACAACAAACGATTTTGTTCCCTTCGCATCCCTCGCTGCACCCCTTTTCGTGTTTCCAACCTCGTCAACCAATGGGAAACGGGGGTTTCCCTTCAACTGCAAAACTAATGATCTACGTGGGACCCTGGTTAGCAGACATCAGCCAATATTCATCCACCTAGTAGCGTGGATCGCGTGCGACTTCGAAATACTCCTTCGCTTTCCGTCCACCTCTCTCCTGGTCCGGCCGTCGTGCGCGCCGCGTCAGCGCAACGGTCGCGTCGATGGCGCTCCGGTGCGCAAGTCCTCTGCTCTCTACCGTCCCCACCTCCACCACCCGCCTTGTCGCCACTCAAACACAAGCTTCGGACTTAATTCAGAAACCCTCACTTCATATAAACATTCCTGGCTCTTCCTCCCCGCAACTCGCGGTCCGCGCGAAACACGCCTTTCCATCCAAACCTTCGCAAGTCGGATTACAGACGCCTCTCGACCGGTCCTTATTCGGAAGAAGCGGGGGGGGCGGGGGGGGATGGCGCGCCGGCACGCGCAGATGGGATGGGCTCCGCGCAGGCGCGAGCAGCGGTAATCCCACTGCGAATGGCGGCGGGAATCCCGGAGGATACGCGTATGGTTACAGCAACCGGCCGCCACCCAAGCCCACACCGACTTATGAAGAGTGAGTCCCGAGTCGCGACTGTGTAGGCAGCACGGAGAGTTTTGGCTGGGCGACGGAGGGGAAGAGAAGAGATGCGACGTAAGAGGTACGATGGAGGAGGTATGCGGTGGGATGTTGTATGATGCAGCTGGTGGGGTTGCTGAGCCATATGGATGCAGCAATATGGATGCAGCAATATGGATGCAGCAATATGGATGTGGCATCTCGCCCTCCCCTGACCGCAATGGGCTGGCAGTTGCAGCAGCGCATGAGAGGTGTGATGAGCATGCCCGGGGACGAGTTTCACTTCGCTACTTCCAACAGAACCCTGTCCGCTTCCTCTCTGTCTCTCTCCCCCTCCCCCCTCAATCTTCCCCTCCCGCCACCACTCCCCTGCCCTCCCCCCGCCCCAATGGGCAGGCAGTTGGAGCAGCGAATGCGGGAGGTGATGAGCATGCCAGGGGACGTGGCAAGGCGGCTATGGCGCCTCATCACAGAACAGCCCGAGGAGTTCCGCCTTGTCCGCTTCCCCTCCTGGAAAGAGATGGTCCGTCCCTCACTCACTCACTCACTCACTCACTCACTCACAGCCAGGGACGTGTGTGCGGGAAGAAGTCATGTTCAAGGGATGTCTTTGGTCTTTCATGCTTGTTGTCGTGGCCTCGCTTTCTTCCAGGCGTGCATTGTTGCATTGTCGCTTTATATCCACACCACATTCCTTGGTTTCTTCTTTTTCCATCTTCCCTGCTGCTACTGCTCCACCTCTCACCACCCGTAGTCCCAACCAGCCTCACTCCCTTTCTGGTGGCTTCCTTGTGTGGGGGTCCGTTGGCGGCTACTCGCGTGGCATCTGTATCTCACAGGCATTTTGTCTATCCCCTCACCCTGCCGCTGTCCTGCAGATCACTGTGACATTGCTCACATTCCTCTTTATTGTCGTCCTCATCATTTTCATCTCATCTGTTGACTCTGTGTTGGCACGGGTGCTCACTCCCCGCTTCAAGCCTGCATAAGATGTAGTTATGTTACCCTTTAGTTCCGGTATACTGTAGATTACTCACTGCTGTTCGGTTTATTCTGTTTTGTTGCTCAATTTAGTATCACTGGAGGAAACCTGTTTTTAGCATCTCAACACTCCAGAGTGGCAATATCATCCACTATCAGGACAAAAGCATAAGCTACACCATGGCCTGCCTATGTGTATGATGGCAAGGCAAGACAGGGGCAAGACAGGGCCGGGCAAGGCAGGAAATAGAGCCTGGGCGGGGGTCTAGACTCTAGAGTGGCAGCAGGAGCACGGGGCAGGGGACGAATTCGGCAAGCAAGTTGCTGTCAACGTGCTTGTGGTGAATGGCCTCCATACTCATCACCACCAGGTCCAGTTCCAGGTCGTCTGCTATCTCCCCCACCACCGCTGCCGGCATCTTGCCCTCTCCCAGCCGCTCAAGCAGCGAGAAGTCTGAGAAGCCGCCTGGCGGAGATGAGATGAGAAGGGGATTTGACGGAGGCGCAGTAAAGAGAAAGGAAGAGCGCTTTTCTAAGGGGGGTATAACTGAAGAGGAAGGAGAGACGAGAATGAAGGGTGAAGTCGAGTTGTGGAGAAAAAAAAAAGGCGAGGAAGTTACCGTAAGTTCAGATGACGTAATGGTTAGGATCAGACGAGAATGAGAAGGCAGCACATCATCAGAAAGCCCTGATTCCGGTTGGTAGGCTGTCACGACTTGAGCTGCCCGTGAAAATATGCGTCTGGTACGTTATCCACTATCGACAGTGCATCTCTCTCTCTCCGGTAATAAGCATGTGTTAACACGTGGCCGGATGGGGGGAGGGAGAATTTACTCTTCGGTCAAAACATAACTGTCCTGCATGACACGTGTGTGCCATCCTGAACACACTGTGCCCGAAGAAAGCCGACATTGCTAAAGACAATCTGCATTGACGGTTTCGGTTCCCCCCCCCCAGATCAATCACACACAAATAGACTGCTGGCGTGGCTGTGCTGCGCACTGACCTTGCGCGAGGTGGAAGCGGATGCTCTCGAGGCGCTGGTTGTGCTCGTCCTTGGTCTCCGATTGGTCCTCGTCGATCACTGCACCACACCGCACGCGAGAACGCCGAGATGGCAAGCATGCAGGGTGAGATGAGATGTCGTGTGAACAACGCAAGTGGAAACGAAACCACTTGCAGACAAAGCAGACGAGGGTTGGTGCGTCTGTAGCTTTTGAGGCGCCTCAAAAAGAGACGACGTACGTGCGTCTGCTAGCACGGACGCACTAACACGGTAAACACCCCACATCCAGAATCCCCCTCACCCTCACCCATTCCTCTCCTTTCACCGTACAACTCGACTAGATGACGTACCGACGACAGTGATGTCGGCGCTGCCCCTCTTGGCCATGGCGGTGGCCGTGGCGATAGCCTGATACGCGCACACAGAAAAGAAAAGACAGGTTGAAATGGTTGAGATCAGACGAGCTGGGCGAGATAAGCGGAGGGAGTCGTCATATCGATACGTATAAGAATCACATTTGTCGTATTGATCGTTGATTAACAAACTCTATTGCCAAGAGTTTCTCAACAACAATGCCCGCCGCAATTACAACGTCGCTCTCGTTTCTTTTCCCTTGTTTAAACATTCAAGCAAGCATTGTAAGATCTCGTCACCTTGTCACCCACTTTCAACCATCAACCTAACACGTCATTTCGAATACGAGCCAGCGCACCCCCCACCCACTCCCCCCCCCCCCCCTTTCTCTCTTCTCTCCCTCCGAAAAAATAAACAAACGAAAACAGTACCTGTCGTGTAGCTTCGTTCAGGAACGGATTGCGGTCCATGATGGGGAGAAGGAGGTGCTTGTACGCCAGAGGATCTTCCGCCGTTGTTGGTACGGTTGCCGCGGCTGCCGCCGGTGCTGCATCTCCAGCGTCGTCGCCTTCGGCCGCGCGAATAACCACGCGGCTCCCTGTGAACGGAGAGGAGCGAACGCGAATCAAACCGAAAATAACGGCGGAAATAGAGGCGGAAACAGTAATGACGAAAAAGAAGGGTGATTAGGCACGATGAAGGCTGAAGGAGGAAGTGGTAACTTCTCATAAGTTTTCTGAAAAAATGCACTATAAAATGAAGCGGTAGAGATCGTATCAGAATGGCGAGGGAAAAAAGGCTTAGACGAGGGGGGGGGGAAGAGGTACTTACTTTGTGAGGGCAGCCGAGTTGATGGTCGGCAGAGCTGCGACAACGCATCGCATCCATGGCGGAGAAATGTGTGTTTTGTGTTTCCTTGTCTGCGGACGGCCACAGACGCGGGACCAGCCGCCATAGAAGCGGCCAGGGGCACGGAGACACTGTACACTAGAGCCTCCATTTTTTATTACAAGGAAAGCCAAGGCGCTTTCACAACAACACTACCTAAGCTCAAACAACTCAAAACAGTAGTTAAGCTAGTCAAGCTTTAATCTGGTGAGCCGATAGCGAAAGGATATGCAGTTCTGAATCAGAGGGTTGGTCGAGCAGTCTGGTAAGGGGCACCGGAACCTGAGAATTGAATGTAGAAATGTAAAATGGCTCTGATTAGGGAATTTCTAAGAGAACTCTGGAATGGTCCAAAATGGTGGCGGTGATTGCCCCTGGAACAAGCATATGGGATAGGATAGGACCATGGGGAAGAAGCGCCGATAGAAGGTGCCAGAAACAGGTCAACGAAAACGGGTGACTTCATGTAATTTCGGCACACTTTCGCCAGTTAATTATCACCTGATTATCGGGTTTAGGCGAAGTTAACCGAAACTGGGTATGTGTGTGTTTCGGTAGTCACACTGCCATTTTTCGGAAAGGTTATGGTTGGTTGCCTTGTTGGCAAAGTAGATGCGAGTGACGTGGGCCACCAAGCTGGCCCAGCTGATCTGAAGGTTGGGATGATGTGGCTACCCAATAAGCAAGCAGCACGAGGTGGTAATTAGGTGGCAGCTTGCCACGACATCAATACTCCTAAAGTCACGGCTGACAATATCAGCAGGGGCATCTCCTTGATTGTAACTCTGCATAGCTCCTCATACACTAGATCAAACAGGAACACTCATTGAACATAATAATACAGGTAGCTTGGTTGCTATGACAACATTAATGTCCTTGACAATGCACAATGCATCAAAACCACAATGAACAAATAATTGAAATTCTCAATCTCCCAAACCATATTGACCTCTACTAGCATTCGAATTTATGAAGAGAACCAACCGCCAAAATGCCTTCTCATTTACATGTAACATGGCTATAAAACTTCATAATTTAGTCTACAAATGTACCCTTCAGGTTCCCTATGCATACCAACTCTAACACATTGTCATTTCTGCATGATATATCCTCTCTTCCCCCGCTGCCTACCCCCCTCTACCCCCTCTATCCAACCTGCCTCATCACTATACCTCCTAACGTTCCCTCCACCTCTGTTATCCCTTGTACCTGCTCTATCCCCCTCTACTTGCCCGTATCCCCCTCTACTGTCTTATATCCCTCCCTAACATTTCTGCCCAATACACCCCCCCACTACATGTCGCCCAGACCTCTATAACTCTCCATATTTCTCTCAACTCACCCTCATATCCAGCACCCCCCCCTCTGCGCCGCCCTCTCTGCTTCTACCCTCCTATGTCGCCACCTATCTCCCTCTACCCTCCTTTACCTCCCTCTACCCTCCTCTACCTCCCTCTACCCTCCTCTACCTCCCTCTAATCTCCTCTACCTCCCTCTACCCTCCTCTACCTCCCTCTACCCTCCTCTACCTCCCTCTACCCTCCTCTACCTCCCTCTACCCTCCTCTACCTCCCTCTAAACCTCCTCTACCTCCCTCTACCCTCCTCTACATCCCTCTACCCTCCTCTACCTCCCTCTAAACCTCCTCTACCTCCCTCTACCCTCCTCTACCTCCCTCTACCCTCCTCTACCTCCCTCTACCCTCCTCTACCTCCCTCTACCCTCCTCTACCTCCCTCTACCCTCCTCTACCTCCCTCAACCCTCCTTTATCTCTCTCTACCTCCCTCAGAACCTCCTCTACCTCCCTCTACCCTCCTCTACCTTTCTCAACCCTCTTCTACCCCTCTCGACCACCCTCTAACCCCACTACCCATCTCACACCCTCCTCAACCCCCCTCCACCCCCCTCCACCCCCCGCTACAACACCCGTCCCTCCCAGTCCCTCCCTGTCCTCCCCTTCTCACCCACCTTCTAAACAATCACCCCCCTAACTCAATATCCTGTCTTTCCGAACCCCCCTGCCATACCCGGGTCTAAGTCGCCCACTGCACTCCCTTTGTGTTAACCCCCCCCCCCGTACCCAAACCTCCGACCCTCATTGCAGTGCCCCAGAGCCCTGGTCACTGCACGGAGCACAACCCTGGTCTAGTTGTCAATCCAATCCTTACACAGCTGTATCGCCGTCAGGCACGAGTACAGTAATGAGTATGCTACTCACTGCCGCGCTGGCGTTGTGTGTGCTGCCGCCGCTGCTGCTGCTGCTGCTGCTGCTGCTGCTGCTGCTGCTGCTTCTGCACCCACTGATGCGAGCCACTCCTGCTACCAGCGCTGATGCTACTGCAACAGCAGCCGCCTCTGCTACGCCCACTCACACCACAGTCTCCGATGTTACCCCCTCGAACAGACACAACTCTGTGTTGTTGTCACTGCTGTTGCCACCGCTGCCGCCGCCGCCGCTGCCGCCGCTGCCGCCGCTGCTGCCGCCGCTGCTGTTACTGTCATACTTGTCGTTACTGTCGCTACTGTCATTGCTGTCGTTGCTGTTGTTGCTCTCATTGCTGGATCGAAGCATGCTGTCATCGCTTGTACGGAGGATACTTCCCAGCTCACTACTAGCCAGAGAGGACCGGTCGCTTGGGGACGAGGAGCAGGAGACAGGGGAGGAGAAGAGCAGAGAGGACGAGGCGGAGGAGGGAGAAGTGTGCGAGGTGTGAGAGGTGTGAGAGGTGTGAGAGGTGTGAGAGGTGTGAGAGGTGTGA